GGGACAGGCGCAGGTAAGATCTGTTGATCCGGTTCTAGCTCTCTATTTAAACTCTCTTGTTTCATGCACGGATCAGCATGATGCTGGTAGGAGGCAGTTCTCAGCTCTCACCTCTTGTTCCTTCTCAGCCTTTGCATTTCTTACATCGTTTCTTGTACATTTAGGAATTAAATGAGATCAAGAGGTTCATTGCTTCTGACTGCATCCCAGTTTCCTATCCAGCTTTCTTTTCCTCAGGACTGTAGTTAGGCTGTGTGAGTTTTGCCAGTCAGTGGATGATGTGGCTGTCAGCTGCCATCAGGTACAAATCTTAAGGGTGGCATTGTTTTCTTCACCAGCTGGGGGAGCAACTCACAGTTTCTTTCTTTAGTAAAAGCACAGAATCAAGTTTCAATGGACATGATGTAGACATGACTGTTACCTTTTTATGTTGTGCATGCATAGCTTGCACAATTTCAGGATTCAAGCTGAGCAACTTATGGAGGTTCGACTAAAGCAGAATGTATTTGTCAAACTCATCTTTTTGCTTCAATAAGTTTTACCTTTTTGCGGGAATCTTTAGGTTTTAGCTAAATTATTAATTCAGTTTAATGAAATTTAGTTTATTTCTATAGCAACTATTCACATTCAACCAGCTCATACAGTCAGATTGGTTCAAATTTATCTCTCTAAGGAAAACCAGTTGATTCCTGATCCTTTCAGCAATCCCTCACACCAAGCATGCATCTAGCGACAGTGGAGAGGAAAACTCATATTTAACTGGAAGAAGGCATAATATTAAAGCTATTTCATAAGAGTGTTAGCACAGGAACTGTAACTAATTTAATACCTGCATTTGCAGTTTTACTTTAGAAGTGATCTAAAAATTAAGGTTTTGCACTTTTAGCTTCAGCTGTATTGAGAAAGAATCAGTTTTCATCGCCTAGACGGCAACCTGCAGCCGAAACTGGCTCTGTCTCTCACTTAATAATATTTAATATAAGTGAACCACTGCCCTGTTTTGTTTGTTTTTTTGTTCTGTTCCTTCATTCCCTGTACCCATGAAAAGAATAAAAAAAAAATCCCTGCCCCTGCAGCTCTAGTTTCCTCCTGTCCATTGTGGCCGTATTCTTGCTCAAGATGATCCATTATGGTTATGGTCCACAACTCGATGCAAGAGCTGGGCTTCTTAAATCCTTTTCATTGGTTGGAATAGAATAATATTACTTATTATTTTCTTGTTCTGTTTAATTAATAGGATTAAGTCAGACTTTAAGCAACAGCTGGTACTGTTGAACTGCATCAGCACTGTGATCATATCCTCTACATTAGCACATCTGGAAAAAAAAGCTTGAAATATTCTGTAAAGTGTAATATTTTGGGGACTTTGCATTAATAATTGTTAATTACTCCTATACCCTAACTACAGGTCTGTATAGATAAATTAGTAGATTATTAAAAGATGAATTAATTTTATCACATTCTAAGAGATTTATACCAGCACACTACTTTAGTTAATAATGTTTTTATGGTTTTCAGTGAGCGAGAACGACATTTTTAGTTTCCTGGGAAAGTTTCACTGAAAACCAATTGGACCAGTTGAAAAACATTTCTTAAAGTGATCTATGACCAGTCGGTCAGTCCAGTTTGCTGGTCAATAAAGCACAGTGACACCATGACCCACCTTCTGGTATCCTTTGGTAGTTTAGAAAGGTAGTAGTTACTCTTAAGTTACTTAGTTCATCTCCATCAGGTGTGAATTGGAAAGAATGCAGATACAATATGTATCACGATACATTTGTCCCAATTTCGACTCATCCCTACATTAACAAAGACGATATATTGTGATTTTTATTGTTACATAGCTCTAGAAAACCTGGCAACATCCTGTTGTTGCTTTGCTGTGGCTTTTGCAAAGCAGCTGAATGATAAGCTCTTTGACGATGTGCTGCCAACTAGTGGCTGGAGCTTTAAGAGTTATGTTAAAATAAACCAATAAAATAGATGTTTGTCTATAGATATATTTTATCTGGATGCACTGATCTGATATTTTTATCAGTATCGGTCCAGATATAAAGAAAAAAAACTAGATCTGTATCTGTGACAATTGACTCGATATAGGGGCCGATTTATACATGCCGTCATGCGGCAGGGCAACAACACAACACGGCCATATTGTTTATGATGGAGCAAGCAAATGTGGTTTTTCACGCTCTCTCAGCCTACTAGCCCAATGGCGTGCAATAGTTCTGGGCAAAATGTTCCGAGAAGCTGTGTTAAATCTTCAAACTATTACACCACCAACTTAATGAAACACCTCCAGAAGTTTCATAGCAAGGAACATGCTGAGATTATCAGACTCGGCAAACAAAACCACAGAGATGATACTTGATTTTGATAATGACACTTTTTTTACATGTTGACCAAGTCAGAGAACTTTTGGTTTAAGATTTTGTTGTTAAATAAATGAGTCATAACATTTATATTTGGGTTGTTTCCAATTTTTTTAAGAAAAGGGAAATCAAATCATTTGCACAGAAGAATGATGCCAGTTTTTTTTTTTTTTTAACACAATAAAACCATTTTTCAAGTGATAATTCAGTGCTGTTTTTGGTATTGAATCGGTATCGGCTAGGGGTGTAAATCACATCCATCATGGCGATTCGATTCAGTATCGATTTCCTGACCCAACGATTCGATTATTTTCGATACTCAAGAATACACCACGATTCGATTCGATTAATCTGTAAATTTTTTTTTTTTTTTTTTTTAGACCTTACAAGCTAAACAAAGTGTCAAGTTTCAAGTAATATCGTTATGCAACAGCAAATAACAGAAGTAGAAAATTTGCAAAAAATACTGTAAAAATACTGCAGAAAATCAGTGCAAGGAGTGCAATGCAATACCTCGGCTCCAGGCGTCCCCGCCCCCTTGAGAAACGCTCCGCTGCACCTCTCCCAAATTGTAGCTGACCGCAGACAGGAGGCCGGCTTGTTTTGTTTTTATGACCGACATTGTGGAAAACAACTCGTGAAGTTTGACCCGCTAGAAGAGCGAGGTGCGCGAGAACGCTGGGACTCTTTTTCCACCTGGATCTCCGCTCTTTTTGGCCCTGATGTCCCTCCGTCATCGGACTAAACTCACCCCCACTTCCTCGCCGCCTCGGCCGTATCCAGACCCACAGCGTGTAGCACAGACCACGCTTCAATATTGAGCATAAATCAAAAATGCCTGTGTCAAGCTTAGTGCAACACACTGCTGTAAGAGTATAACCAGGAAGCGAGGTAGGAGGGCAAAATAGGTTTAGCGCCACCGCAGCACAGGAGGTAGAATTACGTCCAGGAGCAAATGGATAAAAATAGACCGGAGGAAAAAAAAAAACATGAATGGATACTCTTGCGGACGTGTCGATGCATCGGATCGTCGGCTGTTGGATCGATGCATTGATACAAAACGATTATTATTTACACCCCTAGTATCGGCCGACATTAAACTTCAGATATCGGTATCGTATCGGAGGTGAAAAAGTATATCGGTGCATCTCTAATATTTTATATTTGAGATCCATTGGCTGTATGTTGAATCAGTACCAGTATTGGCTAATGAAATATTGCGATATTTCACAGTCAGTTTTTTTTACACCACTAATATCCATAAAGCTTAACAGCAGGTTAAAGCATGCTGCACTTTAAAAAAATATGTTTTTAAACATTAGGGAACATGATAGAGGCAACCTCTGGGGTTAGAGGTTGACCAATACAGCGGCAGCATTGTGCATTCTTTTGCAGATTAGGCTGTGCATTCAACAGCTATGCATTCATTGCTGCCTCCTCCATGTGCTTTTTATTGTTGTTTCATTCATTAATGATTGCTGAGGAAGCTTATCAGTAACATTTGTAATCATTGTGTCATTTGAATCATGAAAATGCAGGAAGAAAGAAGCAAAATTTGTTTAATAAACTCAAAGGGAATTGGTCAGACTGATGTCAAAATAATTAATATTTAAAAAAAGCTGTTAATCTCTACAGTGTAGTATCGACTTTATATCGAAAACCAACAAATGATGTCTTCTTTAGTTTGTGCTCTGACAGGCATTTCGTCTATATTTGGACTGCTGCCTAGAAGCACTTAAAAAGCAGAGTAAGAAAAGCCTCTTTTACTTTCTGTTCCCTCTCTTCCCTCCTCTATCTCACTTGCATTGTGTCGAGTCAGCTCTCCCTCTCTCTCCCTCTCACACGCTAAATATTGTTTCAGACTCGAGAGGCACAATTTCAGAGCGAGGGGAGCACATCCGAGGCTCTCCCGCCTGTTTACGTTCCCACTTTTCATCTGCACTGTGTTTATTTGGGGAAATCTGCAAAGGAATGCCAGGCCTCTTTCTCTTTCTGTCTTTATGGCGGAGGGAGAGTTTAGTCTGAGAGTGGGCCCCAGGCAGTGCTTTCTATCACCTGTTTGGGTTTTTTTCCCTGCTTGATCTGCTTGATTTTAGACTCTAAATAAAGCCAGGATTATGACATTAGATTTTGCAGGCATTTGACCCCCCCTCCCCCCGTGCAAAAGTCCTATTAGAAAAGACTGCCAGTTTAACGAAATAATAAACTGAACCTAAAACTGATTCATGAGCTACTCCCTGATCAAAGTGGAGGCGGGTTGGGGGGGGAGTGCTGCTCTCGGAGCTAAGCTGGCGGACACTTAGCATCTGTTCACTCCACACAGACTTTACTTTGAGCCGGTCATATGGATTTGATTAGTGTACCGGGGTTTCGGATAGCTCCACTCTCCCTGGCAGCAGTTAGAGACAAGGACATCATAATTAGCTTCAGTGTTTGAAGGAAAAAGCATTAGGCATTCATCCCGTGAAAAGCATCAAACATTGCTCACCGAGAAAACAATACTCAGCGTCTTTTGGCATCTTTGCATTATTTGGCCCCATCCGTTTAAGAACTCCAACCTATATGTTTGCAGATCAGTCCAACTTTTCTCCCCCTCTGTCTAACAACAAGCCTTTTCTTTTCTCTCTTGCGAGCTGCGATAGCGTTGGAGGCTATCGCAGCCCAGACCTCTTTTTCTCCTGGCCGCAGCTGTACGCTCCTTTTTCGCAGCTGGTCCAAGCAAAACACTGAGTGGAGAGTCGGCGCTCGCTTGGCCTGCTGACAAACATGCGTTTTTATTTCACAAAGAGTGATACACCCCAGAGGAAAGGTTTTACACAACAGACCGCAGGAAGATGTACAACGGCGTCACCTCTGCATGACAGCCCGATCCCAATTAAACCCGGTTTATAATGGAGTAACATTTCACTGGTGAGGAGCATGCATGTTGTTGTTGGGAGATTTTTTTGTGAAATCACTTTGAGGGGCTTTGCTTTAAAAACTCTTAAGGGTCAACGAGGGGGTCTTTTCCCCCTCCCTCCCTTCTGGGTTTAACTAAACAAAAGTAGCGTTATTTGTAATGAAAATTTGATATCAGGCAGCCGAATTTAATAACCTCACAATAAATTGTAAAGGGGAGGAGGAGTAATGAAAACGGAGAGGAGTTTAGCTCTTTTGCAGGAAATGTCTGGGAAAAAGCCAGAGGGAGGGGACGGGAGAAGGAGCTTTAGTTCTGCTTAGGAGGGACGCTGCAATGGCACAAAGGCCAGTTTGCTTTTACTCTATCTGCTCCACATATTTCTGACATAAAGCAGGAGATCCTTTTATAGGGATCTTTTTCCCCCCTCACTATCACCACCTAAACGTCTTCCATCTGCCTCTGATTACCTTTGGCTGCAGTTGGTCAGCTGCCAGCCATCCGGGCCAGTGTGGCGTCTCCACTTGCCCTTCATTCCCCAGACGGCTCAGAGGGAGTGGGGGAGGAAGGTGGGCTGGGGCAAGAGTAGTTAAACCCGCTGGGCAGTCTGTGTGCATGATAGCAGCACTTGAGGCTTTTGGTTGAAAATTATCCTGTCAGTTTAAAAAAGTCAGAAAGAAGGGCAGAATTTAAAATGTAAGTATTGGTTTAGTAAAATTAGATGTTTAGGACAGATTAAGCTACAATGATGAGAAAAAGCAGAGAGAACATAAATTTAGTTGTTGAACTAACAAATGATGTAGAATCTGAGAATAGAAAATGAAGCAGAGAGGAAAAGTGGTCCCTATGTCCTCCGGCAGCCCAAGCCTATAGCAGCACACCTTAAGAGGTAGGTTATGATAATCTGAGCCTTTTTAACAATGAGATTTATCAAAAAGGAAAGTTTTAAGCTTAGTCTTAAATGTTGACATGGTGTCTGCCTGGAACACTAAAACTGGAAGTTAGTTCCACATGAGGTGAACAAAAAATAGAAGATCTGCCTCCCATATTTCATTTGAAATTCCAAGAGCCACTGTAAACCAATATATTAGAGGGAAGTGCTCTCTTAGGAACATAAAGAACAATCATATCTCTGATATAAAATGGATACATGGTTGTAATTTAGCCTTTTATACTTAAGGATATTTTCCCCTTCTATTCTGGATTTAACATAGACAGACCTACAGAATTTACAGCAGATCAGCCAAGAAACACTTCCTGCAGTAGCTCGGTCAAAGTTAAGGCCTAGATCCGAACTTTGTTCACTGAAACCCCAAAAACCTGAGACTATGTTATAAAGAAGATTGGCCAATTGTTATGTGAGCCGATATAAAGAAAATAAAAGCTTCTAGTTTTATTGCCTATTGTGGCTTGTATAATGTTAGTTTTCTTTTACTTGACTAGTAACAAACCCATGGAAACTTTGATTTTCCTCGTGAAGGTGCAAGTCAGATTAAAGTTACTACATTAGTCGTTGTCTGAGGTGTGAACAAGCTCCATATAAGCACACATACCATCAGCTTAGACATGCTGTCCAATTAGGACTTTCGGGCAGGCTGCCAGCCAGTCACCCAGCCATACGACCAAACATCAGAGCCTGCCAGCCTGGCATCCCACTGCTTTTCTCAAACAAGCTAATTTTACCCCAGAAGCTCCAACATAATACCCTTTGCAAAGCCTGTTTATGGATTCAGGGTGCTGCCTTCTTTGTAACCACTCTTTCCTGTGCTTGTGTCAAAGCTAAGATTAATGTGTATAAACGTAAAAAGCTCAGTCTCTGTATAGGTCTTATTTCCTCTACTCCTCCCTCCTCTTTGAGTCTAAATTTGTCTCACTGCTCATTGTCATTCACTTTACTGGCTTTCCTCTTAAACAGTTTTTCTTTACAGGGCAACAGAAAGGACCACTGCCTGCCAGTGCTGCCAATCCCCCATCGGAGAAGCCGGATTCACGTGTTTTCTCTTTTCTATGAGGACTGTCACCAGTGATAGACTCGCTGCAGGTGCATAGACCCTCTAACTGATCTTCCTGCAGCCATGGCCCCACCGAGCACTGAACTGTCCCGCTGCTAGGCGACAGGGCATCCGACAGGGCAGGAGACATGTTGGGACAGAGGCCAGAGGACCACTGCACTGAAGTCTGTTACTATAGCAAATACTGTAGTAACCATGGAAAAGCTATGGAGGACTGCTCTAGTCTGGATTGTTATCATCCATTTTGCCACCGGGATCACAGGAGGTCGCAAAGATGAGTTTGTGAAATCACAAGGTAAGATAAAAGGGAACTAACAACACCTGTTGGATGATATGTGTTTTCATGGTATGGTGTCAGCACCTTGAGTTCTTTAAACAGGTCAGCATTATTCATGTTAATTTTACAATTTAAAATGCAGAGAAGTTTTTGTTTGGAATCTGATAAGATATGAAAAAAGGTTGTATGACTTCGAACTCTTTCTTTGACCCCTTTTCTTCCTTTTTTATTCCTTCAAAGCCATGAACTGTCCATGTTGCATCAGCCAGGACTAGACTTTCCCTGTTTGTTTCCTCTATTTGCCCTCTGACCTCTAAAAGGCATATGGCTCTAATGGCCTTTATTGCTTCTCCCTTTAAAGAAACGTCAGACTCTGATTGGGGTAGGGAGGTGTTGGCCTCAACGTTGCCTTCTTACACTGTGGATGCATCACTCGTTGAAGTGGACTTGTTATAACGTTAGTAAATGGAGCTTCCTGCAGCAATAAATCCATTTTATAAATGATCATATCCACATGTCTGTACAGCTGCTTTTGGCTTAGTTTTTCACTGTTTGCCACACAGCGGTTTCTGGTGCAGAAACAACCTTGGATGGAAAAAATGTTTGCACCAGAAGAGCTGGCTTTAAAGGGATAGTTCGGGATTTTTGACATGAATCTGTATGGCATCCCCATCACCAGTGTCATGCAATCACATTGACTTACCCCTGGTAGCGTCCTGTGAGCAGAGTTCTCGTCCAGTTTTGGTCAAGCCGAAAGTAGTCCGGCAGGTTTGCTAGACCCAGCGAAATAAAACGTTTCTCTTCCAAAAACATTATGTGTTCAAAAGAGTGATATTTTTGCATCCCAAAAACATTTTAGTGGAAAAAGTCACACGTCGTTATCAATTGGTCCTATTTTCTCTCTGTTCGTATCAGTGCGCGCCGTCATTCAGACAGCGAGCTCAACAACAGCCAGATGCATGTCTCCCTCCGCCTAGCTCCTAGCTGGGCGGAGGGAGACATGCATCTGGCTGTTGTCAGGTTAGTAGGCCCTAGCTGTCTGAATGATGGCGCGCACTGATACGAACAGAGAGAAAATAGGACCAAGTGATAACGACGTGTGACTTTTTCCACTACAATGTTTTTGGGATGCAAAAATATCACTCTTTTGAACACATAATGTTTTGGGAAGAGAAACGTTTTATTTCGCTGGGTCTAGCAAACCTGCCGGACTACTTTCGGCTTGACCAAAACTGGACGAGAACTCTGCTCACAGGACGCTGCCAGGGGTAAGTCAGTGTGATTGCATGACACTGGTGATGGGGATGCCATACAGATTAATGTCAAAAATCCCAAACTATCCCTTTAAGTTGCTCATTTAAACTGAAATATATGAGCTGCTGCTGGTCTTAGTGTGGATGTAATTATGTTATTGAATAAGTTGTTGGGCATTGAAGAGTGATAAGGGTTTCCTAGGGGAGGAGAGCGGCATCACTAGAAACCTAGTGGTACGTACCAAGTAGAGTAGGATCAGACCTCAGATATACCGCCTGTGGAGGCTGGTGGAGTTTTCTCCGGGGGGGGGGGGGGCTATACATTCAAAATAGATGTATACCAAAAACCAATATATGGATGCCAACTATAAAAAAAAAAAAAACATAATTTAATGTACAGGTTTACTTTTTGTGAATAAATGTTGCCTTTTTGAGGCTTTGTCAAGGCAAATCTGTGTTTTGTATGGTCCAATATGGTGTCACAAACCTAAAAAAAAATAATGTACCAGTTTAATAATGGACAGGCTATTAGTCACATTTATATTCTTTTTAACATAAAAAAGTATTTATTTTTCTGAGAATGTGTTTGTTTAAGAACAACTATGCAATTTAACAAACATCTAGAAAAAGTACACTATATTACATTATTTTCCACGTGCTTCTTTGCCTTTTCTAAAAAGTGCTTTAAATCTTTCCTACCTGTCTTTATCCATGCTGGGTCAGACCCTGACATTTGGAAAAGGATGCGGGAAAGCAAAATAAAGCTTTAGCCTGGCTGCATGCAGTTAGCCAAGCCTTGTAAGAAAACCGGGTCCTGAAAAGTGCCCTTATGCCTTGTATTGGCCAGCAACCACTGCCCTCTACTATCCTGCCAAAGGACAACCAGCCATAAACAATTAAAAAAGCCATAAACAACCAAAAAAAAAAAAAATGCCATACCAGATCTGACCAGAAGAATCCATGACGCCTTCTGTCAAACAGTAACCCAATCCAGATCAGCCCTCTTGGATCTAAACTAAAAAGAGACCTCAACCTTGTCGGTTTTCTTAACAAGACTCTACTCAAGTAATGTTGAAGATGAAGCCATAAAGAGGGTTATCAACTTGGTTAATAGACCCAGGACACGTTCAACTAGGAGGAGCTGCAATAAGGGGATCAGCAGTGGTTAGGTGGCGTGCTAACCACTGCGCCACCTGCACGCCCAATTCTGGCAGCTTTTACTCTGAATAGAGATTGCTGATTTGGCTTAAGTTCAATGTCATTTTGAAAACTTTCAGTGTGACCAGTGTTAACGCTGAAATGGACTGAGCCCTGGGTTAGGGGGCTCAGATGTAAGGCACAGGGCTGATAAGTACATAGAAAATAAGTATAGTAGCCAGAATTTTTGTGTAATTTCAGCTTAGATACAAGATGCACTCTTTGCATGTACTTCCATGTGAACAGAGCTTAGCCCTCCCCGTCTATAAGACTCCACAAGAGTTGCATAGCACAGGACCAAAATGATGGAGAAGGCAAGGATTGAAACACTCACCTGAAGACAATCACTTCAAAAAATGAAGCTCTGCTGCAAAGTAGTGAGTTTATTAATTTTGCACAAGGTATGTTCGTCTGGAAGGTGATTTTTTCATCTTGTGTGCGTTTTTACATATGTTCATACAAAGCAGAGTGGAGGTTTACACATCTTGTTTTGGTCTACAGACCGTGCTCAACAGCCCCACCTAATATTGCAGTTTGCTTTATTTCTTCTTAAATGCCAAAGTTTCATGGAAAGGTTAGAGGTTTCTCTTGATTCTGCTTGATTATAATGCATTACGTGCTGCTGGACATTTTTGTCCCACATGCTTTAGTTCGAAGATAAATCCAAAGTCTTTTCTTCTTCTTTTTCTTTTTTTTTAAACCCCTAATGACCATCAGGACTCCAACACATCTTTTGTATTTCTGTATCCCTGCCCATAACCATCATACCAAGACAAATGAGCCCTAAATATTTCAACCAAAATATTACATTTCTAGTATCCAACAAAATTAAGTCTATTATGGTCTGCATTTGTCTTGGAAGGCACTCTTCTACATCTTTTATTTTTTATTTCCATTTTGTTTTGAGTGGGGAATGTTGGGTGGAGATATTCTAAGGCAGCCATTAGAGTATTAACAGAGCTATGCACAGATGTTGGGAGATAAGGGCTGGCGTTGTGTCTTTATTTCAGTTCATTTTAAAACATTTGAGCCAAGGGCTGTTATAAGATGTCAAGCAATTGATCTATTGTAGTTAATGGACATTGACTGGAGATGACTTGATCTCCAAGCATGTTTGAAATATTTGCTACCTTGTCTATGAGAGTGGGACTAATTGAAATGTATAGCACCTCAGAGTGGATCAAAAATCCAGATTTTGCATCTTTATAGCTTTACTCAGATAAAAACATGGTTGACACCCCTCCTCAAGATCGTGTGGAGGTTGCCCCTGGATTGGCAAACTGGGGTGGATGTTCCCCTGTATAAGAAGAGGGATCGGAGGGTTCCAACTATAGGGAGATCACATTTCTCAGCCTCTCTGGGTAGGACTATGTGTCTGAGTGATTGTCGTACCTCAGCTTCAGGAGATGCAGTTTGGTTTTTCTCCTGGCTGGGACACAGTGGACCAGCTCTACACCCTTTTCAGGGTATTTGAGGGTTTATTGGAGTTTGCCCAACCAGTCCACATGTATTTTGTGGACATAGAAAAGCCATGTTCCTCATGGTAATCTGTGTGAGGCACTTCAGGAGTATGGAGTCGGGGGGCCCTTTACTAAGGGGCCAATCCAGTGTCTTTACAAGTGAAGCAGGAGTTTGGTCCACATTACCGGCATTAAGTCAGACCTGTACCAGGTGCATGTTGGACTCAAGCAGGGCTGCCCTCTGTCACCAGTCCTGTTCATAAGCTTTATGGACAGGATTTCTAGGCGAAGCCTGGGGCTGGAAAGGGTCTGGTTCGGGTACAGGCAGATCCTGTCCCTGCTTTTTGCAGATGATGTGGTTCTTTTGGTTTCTCTCCTGCCATGACCTACAGCATAGACTGTGGCAGTTTGCAGCCAAGTGTGAAGTGGCTGGGATGAGAATGAGCTCCTCCAAGTCAGAGGCTATGGTTCTCAACCACAAAATGGTGGCTTGTCCCCTTCAGGTTGGAGGAGACCTACTCCCTCAAGTAGAGAAGTTCAAGAACCATGGGTTCCTGTTCACAAGTGAGGGGAGAATAGAATGGATAGACAATATAGGAACACTTGCAGCTGTTTCTATATTGTGGATGCTCCACCCATCTGTTGTGGTGAAGGGAGAGCTGAGGGGAAAAGCAAAGCTCTTGACTTACCAGTCGGTCTACGTTCCTACCCTCACCTATGGTCATGAAGATTTCCCTGCAGGGTGGCTGGGCAGTCCCTTAGACATAGGGTGAGGAGCTCGGTCATTTGGGAGGTAGACGGTCTCTCGGCAGACTGGGAGCACCTCGGGCTGCCCCCAGCAGAGCTGGAGGATGTCTGGAGAGGGAAGTATGATAGTCCCAATGAGACTAAAGGCTGATTTATTCTTTGAAATTAGGTCATCTGCATAGGTGTCGCAGTGAACAAAAAGATGTCTCCGCCCCCTCCGCAGACACTCTGCTGCACCTCTTCCAAGTTGTAGGTATCGCAGAAAGTGCGGCAGACAGGAGGCCGGCTTGTTTTGTTTTTATGACTGCAATTGTGGAAAACAACTCGTCAAGTTGGTAGGACCAGCTAGAAGAGCGAGGTG